TACATGCCTAAGTTCACCTGGAATTACCATAACATTACTAAGTTTGACACAATTTTGTCAACACACGCCACAGCAACCTAACCTAACCTTGCTTCAATATTCTAAGTTAAATTCGATGGTGGTATTGTACTGTGTGTGTGTGTGTGTGTGTGTGTGTGTGTGTGTGTGTGTGTGTGTACAGGAGACGTTTATAGTGTGTCTACGAGCGCTAAAAATCATTACTATGCTAACTATGAATTCTTGAAACAGGTTTCTTCAAATTTATATAGTGGAAGGTACATGGGGAGGTGTGGGTGGGGTGGCAGGGGCGGGAGGGTGGAATTGCATAGGAGGGGAGGGTGGCAGGGGTGGAAGGAAGGGTGGTAGTAGGTGCTATGTGTAATGGGTGGTCGTGGAAGGAGTTTGTGGGCGGGACATAAAGGTGGTAATGGGCGGAATGGGGAGGATACAGTGGGTGGGGTGGGGTGGGTGGTGGGGTGGTGTGGTGTGGTGTGGTGCGGGTGGTGGTGGTGTGGTGGTGGCTGGGGTGGTGTGGTGAGGTGTGGTGGGGTGGTGTGGTGTGGTGTGGGGTGGGAAGGAAAATCTAGCATGAAAAGGGGAAGAAAATAAATCTAATAACAGAGAAAGTGGAAGAGGATGAAAGAGGAGGAGGAGGAGGAGGAGGAGAATTACAGGGATGGAGGTAGAAGAGGCTCAGAAGAGGGAAGTGGAGATATAAAAGAGAAGGAGAGGGGGATGATGAAAAGCTAAATTAAGGCGAAGACGAAAGAGGAGGGAAAAGGCAGAAGGATGAAAGAGCAAGGGAAGCAAGAAAGAGAGAAGAGTGAGGATGAGAGAGGAAGTAGAGACGAGAGACAGGAAGACGGCTGGGGGAAGGAAGAAAAGAAGCAAGATGAGGAGGAGGAAGAGGAGTGGGGAGGGTGAGAAGGGAGGAGGGGGGGCAGACACACTACACAAAGAAGACCTCATTATTTCGGCAACTGGCTTCTTCACATTTCACAATGTAAATGTGAGGCGATGTTAGTGCCGACAAAGGCGTGGTGCGTGCTGTTCTTGAATGCTGCTAACACCACCTCCACCTCCCCCCCTCCTTCCCCCCCTTCCTTCACACCCACATACAAAGTTCACTATTACCGTTCCATTCTGGTAAAAACCTTCAAGTAATATTAACGAGGCGTAAAATAAAATATTATTTTCTGAGTAGGCAGCAGGCAGGTAGGTAGCTCCTCCTGCTGTTCCTACACTCTTGACACGAGTGGATCATCAGACAACTCTCCTCCACCTCCCTCTCTCACCCTGCGTCAAGTACAAGGCACCGCCCCGCCACCTTCCTTCTATTTTGCCTCACTCACCGACACAAGTTGCCTCTCCTCAGTGTTGCCTCTCCTCCTCCCCTCACACTCACACTAATTTGATATTTATGAAGCTTGCCTCCGCTCCCTCACTGTTCTCCCTCAAGTTTGTCTCTCCTATTTCGCTTCGCCACTAAGAAGAGATAACGCCTTACCTTCAAAGTCTCTTTTAATTGCCGCACAATGACACAACTTGTTCTATCTGGGGTCGTCTCTTTTTACATCCCCGAGACACTGAAGCAAGTTATTGCCTTCAGGATACCTTCTCTTCCTTCCCTCAATAAACGACACAAGTTTTGTCTTTAAAGTTCGTCTCTGTTGCGTTATCGTCCCCCCTCCCCCCTCCCACACACACACACTTCAGGAGTTATTAACGTGAAGGTGATTACCGATGGTTCCTTATAAGGTCTCCGGCAGAGTCTCCTATTACCTGAACTACAACTAAGTCACCGCTGGCTGGGAATAAAGTTCTCCCTGTGTGTGAGTGAGTGAGTCAAGATTGGTATTCATAGAGCTAATTGGCGTAACCAACTCAGCCTCTCGCGCTTGCATGTTTGACCATAAGTTACGAGGATGGTGAACACAGTCAACGGATGAGTGTGTGTGTGTGTGTGTGTGTGTGTGTGTGTGTGTGTGTGTGTGTGTGTGTGTGTGTGTGTGTGTGTGTGTGTGTGCGCGCGTGTGTGTTCTGTATGTAAATCTTGTGTGGTGGTAAATGAACGAACATACTTCAGATAGCGTCTCTGTATAATTTGAGTACTATTTATAAACATTAAATTAGGGATTAAAGTTAAGTCACCCACGAGGAGTATTCACCGCTGGACGGACCCTTGAGAATAATCAGTAGTGACAGAGACAGATGACACACAATAAACAGAAGGAGTTTGATAATAGATTCTGAAAGAGGTAAGAAACAAATGATGGCTACTGCACCCTGTCTAGTGTTAAAACATATGACAACAATACACTAGAGGGTGGACGGCGTGATCTGTCTACCAATTATCCGGTTAAGTGAATATTTACCGGATGCAGGAATTAGACAGAGGGAGACACTATACAATAACATCTGTCTCTCAGTATCTCTCGTGGATCTCTCTATCTTGTTTATCTCTCATGGGTGTATCGTGACTTATATAGTGAGACAGTAACCGTATATCGTCCCCACCTTAACGTACACGGTTTGTTCTGTGTGTGAAGGCAACAGCTGGTGGTAGAGGGAGGAAGACAAAGATGGTTCGGAAGAAAAGAGGAGGGAAACATGCTGATAATAACGAGAGGAGAGGAGAGGAGAGGAGAGGAGAGGAGAGGAAAGGAGAGGAGAGGAGAGGAAAGACAGAGATGATGACGGGGTGTGATGAAGGAAAGATGGCGGGAGTGGACACAAGCAATGGTAGGAAATCTATTCTTAAATGTTCAATAGTAACATTAACCCCCAAGATACATGTAACTGTGTGTATAAACGTTAAGTGACCTCTTCATGGGGGTGTGAGGGAGGCAAAGGAGGGTGTTGGGTGAGAGTGAGGGAGGAGTGTGAGGGAGGGTATGAGAGTGTGAGGGAGGGTAAGGGGTGTGGGGGAGAGAGGGAGGGAGTATGAGGGTGTGTGTGTGAGTGAGGGGGGTGTATGAGGGTGTGTGTGTGAGTGAGGGGGGTGTATGAGGGTGTGTGTGTGAGTGAGGGGGGTGTATGAGGGTGTGTGTGTGAGTGAGGGGGGGTGTAAGGCAGTCATGGGGTCAATTCAGATTCAAATCCAATTCAGACAAAATTAAAATCTATCAATTCCAATTCAATTATTTAACTCTCATATTAGTCGGGAATATATTAAATGTGTCATACTGGAGTCCCACACTAAACAATGTAACTTATTATTTCAAAACTTTCATGGTGAACATTTTTTACACTTTAGACATGTTGAACAAACTTTGAAAAAATATATCAATAATAAGTTGGCCACATGAAAAAACACATATTATTATTTAGATATAACGTCAACTCACATCAATTCCAACTCAATTCAATTAATTTAAAAAATGTTTCCTTCAATTCCATTTCAATTGCAATTTACGCACTTTTCCAATCAATTCCAATTCAATTCATAATTGACCCCATCCCTGGTGTAGAGTGTGTGGAACGGTGTGAGGGAATGTGGTGCGTGGATGGGTGTGAGGGGGTGTGTGAGAGAGGGTGGGAGGGAGTGTATGAGTGTGTGAGGGAGGGTGCGAGGTGCCCACTCACTGTCTCAACGCTCGGCTCCACCACAAATGTTTTATGCTACACTTTTTTTTTTAACATTTCCGCCACGACGGCTGACATCCAATAAATAAATCCATCCACCCAAAAAAATTCAGAAAAAAACGCAATATTGCACCACGATGAATGTTGCAAATGGTCGTAACTACGTGTCAAGGGAACTTTTCAAAATACCGCCTGCTGGACAAACGCCAAAATATACACAGTGACCAAGCATCCCGGGACCCACTGTACGCCACCAACAAACACTAACGCAAACCCACAAAATATCGATCATGCACCAATCACTCAGATGCGCCAGTACACGCACGGGGTGAGGGACCATTCGCTTGCCATAGTTTTTATACGCATGTCACCGGGGACGTCAAGGGCTGCGGAGTGCTACTTGTTGGTAGTGTTGCGTCAGTGTGTTGCTGGGGCTACTTTAATACACAACCTCTGTGATCCAGATAACTTATGTGGTGCAAAATGCCACCTAAATCAAACGTGTACAGTCATTTCATCATGTCTAGTTCCAGTGACAGTAAACAGGGAAACCACATAGCAGTTTGTCGTCACTGTAACCAATCAGTGGCTGGATCTAACAAAGCAACATCAAACTTCAGGAGGCATCTAGAGGTGAGCTATTTTGCATATTATTAGTTATATGCCCCGGTCGGCTTTTGTTATGCCCCGGTCAGCTTTTGCTATGCCCTGATCGGCGTTTGTTATGCCCCGGTCGGTTTTTTAGACTAACTGTACTCTATTCTAGGACAGTTTTTGACGCTGATTTCAAATATGTTATTCATTTGATGTGGAAATACTTGGTTTTTGAGATATGACAGGTTAGGCTACTATGTTTGTGTTCGAACCAAAGATTACCTCGTGCAACATCGCACGCAGCCTAAAGTAGACTAGGCTTCATCCCATGTTCGTTCCTGAGTTACCCCGTCACTCCGCTCCTTCTTATCCACAAGACATGAGTAACATATTTGGAATCAACGTCAAAAATTGGTCTTTAATATAGTACTGTTAGTCTAAAAACTTGTAAAAAGACGAATGGGGCATAACGAATGATCACCCAATTTTGTAATTACAATAATATTTAATTTGCTTTCACTTGGCTACCATCTTTCCTGACATTAATAGTAATCATGTTCAGGGTCACGCTGGGTCACTTAACTCATCTATATATGTTTTGTGCTTTGTTTCCAGAGGAATCATGCAGACATCTATGCAAAGCTTGACAGTCCAGCAGCTGAACCAAACCAAGCTAACCAAAACCAACTCTCCATGTATAACTTCACGATAAAAAGTCTAAAGACTCAGTGGAACTCCACTGACCGACGACAGATGAAACTCGCCAACTGTATCGTGGCATTTATCGCTCACGATCTTCTTCCCTTGTCTCTGGTTGAAAGTGAGCGATTCCGCATACTCATGGAGACAGCAGAGCCGATGTTTACGATGCCCAGCCGTGAGCATCTGAGTAATGTGCTCCTACCGCAGTGTTCAGCCAGTGTTCAGACATCGTTGAAGACCCAGTTACAACAGGTGGAGAATCTGTGTCTCACCATCGACCTGTGGTCCAGTAACGACACGAGGTCATTTATTGGTGTGGCTGGCCACTTCATCCTAGACCACACAAAGAACAGCGTTATGCTGGCATGTCGCCGCTTCAGAGGTTCTCAGACGGCAGACAATATCTACGACATGTATCAAGAGACGCTGACCTCCTATGACGTGGCAGGCAAAGTGTCCGCCATAGTTACTGACAGCGCAGCAAATATGGTGAAGGCGTTCACACTATTCCCAGTAAAGCAACATGATGAGGACGAGGATGACCAGTTTGAGGACAGTGATCTGACACCAACTGATTACAATACAAAGTACGACCACCTACCCCCTGACCGAAGTCCATGCTTCGCCCATACAGTTCAACTAGTGGTGAAAGACGGCATGGAGCATGATGGCCAGGTAAAACACGTTCTCACTAAGGTATCCAAGCTCGTCAACTTCTGTATGAGATCAACAGTGGCTACAGAAGTGCTCTCACCTCAACTCAATCTCCAGATGGCAACTTGTACACGCTGGAATAGTCAGTTGACTATGATGAGGTCGGTACTCCGTGTATCACCTCAAGTGTGGGACAACCTTGATACTCCCTACAAACTGAACCAATATGAACTCAACACCGTCAAGGAGCTCTGTGATATCCTCGAGCCGTTCAAGTATGTCACTGATCAGATTCAGCGACAGCACACGGTGACATCCAGTCTGGTGGTGAACTGTGTCCGTGGCCTTCGGGCTACTTTAGCTAGTCTTCGTGAAGTGTACAATAGTAAGCTTGTCTCAACACTTCAATCCTCAGCTGAGACTCGCCTGAGTAAGTTTGAGTCCATGGAGATTTTCCAACTCGCTGCCACCTTAGACCCACGCTACAAGCTGGACTGGTGCCGTGACGATGAAGTCCAAAACATCCGTGACCTGCTGACTCAGAAGTACAACGACATGGCAGCCAGTGTCAGTCGTGCAGACACTTCAACTGCTGAACCACCACCGATGAAGAGGAACAAGTTCTTCGCCCTGGCCAACCGATCCTCAACACCCAGACCGACTCCCTCCGACTCTGAGGTCTCTCTGTACCTCAGCCAGCCGTGTCTGCCAGAAGATGTCGATCCTCTTGACTACTGGAAGGCCAAGCACCCCGAATTCTCAGTCCTCACCAGGCTTGCGTCACGATACCTGGCCATCCCTGCTACATCATCTCCCGTGGAACGACTGTTTTCCAATGCTGGCAAACTCTTCAGGCCAGAGAGATGCAACCTGAGCGATAACCGCTTTGAACAACTCATGATGATCAGATGTAATCCTCATGTTCCTCAGTAATCTAGACTCTAGCATAATGAGTAGTAGTGGTCAAAAATTTCAAGATATAAACCATATGAACATTTGATTGGTAATTAATACCTTAACATGATCTGTTAGTGTGTAGCAGTGTATGGAAGTAAAGAGGTTACTATGAAACACCCACTTTTCAATATAAAAATCAAATAAATAAATTGAATTGATGATTTTCTATTTTTTTTTCGGACTTGAATCGGAATTGATAAAACGGAATTGACCTCCAGCCTGTGATTACCCAAGTGTTTGTTAATCTACTACAGTTTAAAACCTGTGCCAAACACGATTTTAACGGGCCACTTCAAGGGTTCAAGGCTCAAGGTTCACACGGTTTAGGGGTCGCTTTCCAGGCTCAAGGTTGACATGACGACATGACGGTTTTCACATACACACACACACAAAAAAAACATGTTTGCTCAGGTAAAGTCTCAAAGTAATATTGTCCGCCATGTTTGAGCCGCAGCTAAAGTGTGGCAGCCAGGTAGAAGTATTCTCACACGTCCAATTAGGGAGATGAGTTAACGTAGCAACCTTTGGAGAACCTGAGACCTGATAAAACAGTGACTCACTCCGTGTGTGTGTGTGTGTGTGGAGAGAGAGAGAGAGAGAGAGAGAGAGAGAGAGAGAGAGAGAGAGAGAGAGAGAGAGAGAGAGAGAGAGAGAGAGAGAGAGAGAGAGAGAGAGAGAGAGAGAGAGCTAAAACACAAGCGAAAATATGAAGAAAAAATCTAAAAAAAAATCTAACGGTAAAAGGTGAATTATGATAACCGGAGGAAGGCTGAGGCCGCTGATACTGCCGCCGGCGCCTCTTATCTTGTGGTAAATATGAAGGCATTAATTAGGCTACACCGTATAAGGAGGAAGCAAAGTCCCCCCGCTGCATATTTGGCTCAAAAACCAGGGAGCGACCAGGGAGCAGCCCAGACGAAACGAGGAAAACCAGGAAACAACCAGGCAGGGCAACAAGCAGGACCAGTCAGCCAGCAGAACCAGGAAAGCTACTACTGCCTATTGGAAACTTACAGTAGAGTGTTGTGCGGTGGCTCATGTGGCGCAACATCTCCCCGGAGTTATTTACTTTATTCCAAAATATTTAGACTGAGAGAAAAAGTTGAAAAAATTAATGATAAAAATTTAAGAGTGATGGTAGCAGGTGGGCCTGAGTGTCGTCAAGATAGATGATACTCTGTAATGAACCAATCTGTTGTAGAAGGAATTGATGGTGTTTAAACGGCCCATCAGATGACCTTCAGGATACAGATAGGTCAGATCATAGCGTTGGACCACACACACACACACACACACACACACACACACACACACACACACACACACACACACACACACCAGAACACTCATCAACTACTGAACGGGGGAAATATTCAATACAGAAACCACTGAAACTATGATGAATGGACACCACACCACACACCACATCACAACACCATACCACTACAGTAGATACACACCTACACAGGACACTTCACAACACCCAGCCAACACCGCCTTCCACCACACTCTAGGCCTATATTCCAGTCGCATACCTGCCCACACCATTCTACCACATCCCACGCTACGCCACACCATGTAAACATCCAATAAACCGAATACTATGCACTGTATTCACCACACCTTACTAAGTACATTCACTACACTATTCTATGTACGATTACTACCACACACACCACACACTCCACTGTACACACTCATCACACCAGTTCCACACTACACTCAACACACCACCACACTATGGACATTTACCACACCATACTACACCACATCACACCACACCACACCCACCTAGTATCTCCTCCATTACACCAACACGGCCCCTCCACCATACCTCACCACACAGTATCCTCACCACATACTGCACCATTTTGGAGGTAGCGAGCTTAGACAAAATTAAGGTTGAAATTCGAGTCATGTTCGGCTGTAAACTTGGTGCCGCGTCCCTCACCAGTTACCCGTTAATCAGCCTCCTCGGACCCCTGGCTGGTGACCTGCCCTTATGTATGGTGAACCACAGTGAGGCCGCTAGTGAGGGTGGTGGTGAAGGTGGTCAAGTGATGGTGGGTGTTAATGGTGACGATAATGATAATGATGCTGACAGTAATGGTGATCGTAAATGTTCCGATGGTGATGATTATGATGAGTAAGAGATGAAGATGATGATGATGATGACGATGATGGCTGGCACAGGATTCTTGTAAGGGCAAACACGTGCTTCAAGGGGGTCACCTGTATGCCCCCTGGCGGTGTCTGTCCCCTGTTGTCCTTCAAACTCATCCAGACCAAAAAAAAATAAATTAAAATAATTCAAACTTTATTACCACCAAAGACTGGAACCAAAGTAAAGGTACGAAATAATTAAAGAAATATTAATATCAAAATCCATCCTGTTGAGTGAATCTTTGAAGGAATATGAGAGTTGGGTACGTTGGTGTTATGAAATGCGGGGGAGGAGAGCAGTGTTTGGAGTGGAGTGGTGGTGGAGTGGTCAGTGCTGGAGTGGAGGGTGGAGGGGTGGTCAGAGTTTGGAGTGGAGGAGGGTGGAGGGGTGGTCAGTGTGTGTTGAGTAGTGTGTGGAGGGGCGGTGCGTGGTGGAGGGGGCAGCTGATGAGGGGTGAACTGAGGGAGATCCGTCTTATACCGCACCCCCTCACTCCCCCCTCCCCTCATCCCAAGGTCCTTCAAGAAACAAAAGAGGGGATCCACTGGTCACTCTTATTTTTCCAAAGACATAACAAAGAGAAGCGAGGACACAAAGACCTCGGCTACAATACACACACGGAGCTGTCACGGTAGCTATTACTCGTTGGCCCGGGGGGAGACCGCAGGGAGGCAGGGGAACTCACCGCTTCTTTATACATCGACATCACAGCTACTACCTACGACAGACTGTACTTCTCCTAATGTACTGCACACCAGAAAAACATCCTCATAATTCAAACACCTATCTGAAGGAGGTGTCGGGTTAGGTTAGGTTATATCAAATAAGGTAAGTGTTATAATAGCTGGTTTAAATATGAAATAACCTGGGATGTCTAATCTGCAGGTAACCCAAAACACCAGAACAAAGCCACAAATTCATCAGGTTAAACCATCAATGTTGACATCAATGGACTGAAGGAAGAAGAGATTTCAGGCCCCGTGGTGCAGCAGGTAGAGCGGACCCTCACAACACAAGAGGCTCCTGACCATTACATTATCATAACGGCAGAATAAACTCATCCTGGCCGCTGACTGGTCCAACACGAGGTCTGTAAATCTGTCCACAACACATATCTAAACCCACATGTGCAGTTTACAGCGAGATGCAGCATAACGAGACGTGGCTGTTCCTCACCAATATAAGTACCCTGACTCTCCACCACAGTTATCATGGTCAGCTCTTATCCTCACTGTCATCAGTAAGTGAGAGAGATTCATCACTACCCACTCACTCACTCACTCACCCACTCACTCACTCACTCACTCACTCACTCACTCACTCGCTTGCTTGCTTGCTTTTTCACTCACTTCCTCCCTCATTCACTTCCTCCCACTTACACGCTCCCTTCACACTCAAAGGGATTTTTAATTTCTGTCTTGGTGATTGAGAATGTGTCATTTAGGGCCGCGTGTGTGTGTGTTGCTTAAGTGCCTGTGTGTCATGGAAGACTAACCGCGGAGTGAAGGAGTGTGTTGCTGTCTGAGTGTGTTGTGAGGGTGAAGTGAGTGTGTTGTGAGGGTGAAGTGAGTGTGTTGTGAAGGACAGAGGGCGGCGTAGGAGTGGATAGATTTGGGTGGAGGAATAAGTAGGTCGGGAAGAGGGTGGGGTGGGTGAGGGAGGATGAGGAGAGAGGGTGGGAAGTGAAAGTGAGAAGGCAGGGAGTTTAAGGGTGAGAGGTGAGTGTGGGAGATTCAGGGTGTGTGGGTAAGGGTGAGGGTAGGGGCGAGGTGGGGAGGTGATGGTGAGGTAGATGAGGGGAGTGAGGGGGGCGAGGGTGGAGGGCAGTAAAGCCTCCACACCCGCCGTCCTAAACATTGAAATGCTCATATTTTCCTCTTAGGGTCATTACGGGCGAGAGGAAGGGCCGGGTGTAACTCCTCATTACCCTCCCATCTCCCCCACCCCGCCCCGCCACGCCCAACGCCCCTCACCCGCCACACCTCATCCCCCTCACTCCCCCACACGCCACTTTATGTTCTACCTCTACCTCGTGTCATCTACTCATTCCTCTTATCTTACCTCACCTCCCTCACACCTCATCCCCACACACACACACACACACACACACACACACACACACACACACACACACACACACACACACACACACACACACACACACACACACACACACAGTACCTACTAATCACAAAAAACATTCACAATAACATTCCTACACATTCATGTCTACATTCTTTATCAAATACCAACAACAAACTGGGGTAATAGCCAGGTCAGAGAGTGACTGGTCGACGCCCCCCCCCCACCACCAGTCTTAATGGGCCCCAATCGTGACCCAGCCATCATAAGTGGGGGCCCAGTCGTTATGGGTTAGATTGGGGCCTATTACGTCTAGAGCCAATTTGTCTTGTAACCTGCCAAGTGGGGCACGGGGGAGAGGGGGGAGGAGGGGTGTGGAGAGGAAGGGAAGGAGGGGGAGAAGAGAAGTGGAAGGAGGCGAGGGGAAGGAAGAGAGAGAGGAGAGGAGGAGGAGGAGGAGGATGAAGGGGAGGAGGTGGAGAGGAAGGGGAAGTGGAGGAGGAGAGGAAGGTAGAGGAGAAGAAAGGGGAAAGGAAGAGAGTAGAGGGAAGAAAAAAGGAGGAGGAGGAGGAGAAGAAAGAGGAGGATGGGAGAACAATGTAGGGAAGATAAAGGAAGAGGAGAAAGGAAGAAAAAAGCGAGAGAGTCAAGAAAGGGATGAAAGAGGATACATAATAAAATAAAAGAGGAAAAAACAAGGACAGAGAGAGAGAGGAATGACTCAGAGTTACAAAGTGAACGAAAATGAATAAGGCTAACTTACAGTGAGA